TGTAGGCAAATCCGGCTCCAAAACTAATTCTATGCTTAGCAAAATACTCTCAGCCCAGCTGAATCTATCGTTTATATTCCAGGTGAGTCCCCTGCAAAACCAAATTTGTTTAAAAATGAGTATATTTTGCTAATTTCCTGCAATTTGGGTTCAAGTGGAACATAAACCCGGGGACTGCGTGCACTTGATAAGCCCTAAAAAAGCGAAACGAGTCGTGGGTATTCGAACAGCATTCAGCAACCCCATGAGTAGTATATTACGTCTATAAATCTTCCCCTAATATTTCGCATCAGCCAGTTCATATGCGTTGCTTTGGAATTCAACAAATGGTTGAAAATGAACGTAAATGTATTCTGTTGCATATTCACCCTCTGCGTAAACGATGAACGATGATAAACACTGGGACAATCATGTGACCTTACCTCATCTAGCTTGGGTGATTTAGCCAGAGAGATCATACCACGGATTACTTGTTATTCTGCCCTTATGGCAAGATATCGCGGGTTTCCATCTGACTACAGAATTAATCAAATCTTTCGAGACAAGTGCGTCACAGCTTTCGTACAGATCTCACACGTCAGCAAACATTTGTCTTGCCGTCATCTGTGACACTGATATCATATCTGTCTTTTGTCATTCCTAGATTTATACAAACGGTTTTTCTACAACGCTGGTCGTTGTAACGTCTATCCGTCATTGGCCAACAAAGGTTGGTTAATAACACTATGTGGTAGGGAAGGTGTACCTACCACACAGCAACCAGTCCAGCCTTACTGATTGCGTTGCCGAAGCTAGTCGTTGACTGTCGTGATTCCCCCCCCCCCCGCGTCATTACTTTACGAAGCTAAGCGACGATGGGTGGAGGGACGTTCGAGTGGACACCACACGACACCTAAGTAAAGCGTTTTCAAAAAAAAGTCAGCTCGTTTAGAAGAATAAAACGACTCAAGTGAGCATTTCATCTAAGAGGTCGCCATTCAAGCCGCTTGTGATCGAACGGTTGAGTTCTCAAGCTGTCTGCCAGGAAGTTGTGGGATGGAAATTTCCTGGGTGTCATAAGTACCCAGTACTAATTATCCCTCATAAGAATGAAACAACTGTACTTTGGCGAATACACACTCCTTTGCAAATTAGTATGGGCGCCAAAATCTCGAATCGATGGGTTGGAGGGGTTCGAAATTAGCTCAGCTTCCTGAAAGCAACTACTGAATACCCGGAATCTACGGCGACTCTCAGCTCCGCCGGGTGTTGACCAGACAGACAACGCCATTTCAATATGCAGCGCGTCACAGCCTTGCATCAAACCTAGACAGCGCGAGTCAGCGTTGATCAAGGACAGACAACGCCTCCGCAATATGCAGCACGTCGCTGCTTCGTACAAAACCAGACCGCGTGCGTCAGCATTGGAGGTGTTTATCTCGTTCATCGTTTACGTACAACCTACAGAGGGTGAATATAAAACAAAATAAATTTACGTTCATTTTTACCCATGTTGTCAAACTCCCAAGCAACGTATATGAACTGGCTGATGCGATATAATAAGGCTATATTTATAGACATAATATACTACTCATGAGGTTGGTGAATGCTGTTCGACTGTCCACGGCTGGTTTCTCCCTTCTCAGGGCTCATCACGTAGACACATTCCCCGAGTTTCCGTCAATTAGCTTTCCAGCGTAGACTGAGCTCAATGACAGGAGAAAATCTCATTTGAAACTTTACCATCACCATGCCTTCTGCCAAAAAATGTCAGTGTCTCCGGATCAAAGAATTCCCTAAGCTTCAGTGTGGTATACAATAAGATAACTAGCATTTGACACTTTTAAAAAACCCCCTGTTGTCAGTGCTAAAACCGTACATAACAGGCAATAATAGGAATGATATAACGCAGGTCAATACCTGCGTTTTGAAGTATGATTGTAGCTAACAACAGATCCTAATTATCTCACAGAGCGCACCGTCCTTGAGCTCGATTTGTCACAACATCTCCCTACCTGGGGACCGAACACAAAGGAATCTTATATCTCCTGGTGTGGTCCAACGTCAAGGCAGACTCTCGAGCAACTAGCGGAACCAATTCTTTCAACACAACTTATTCAGGCGGTTTTGTTTCGCATCTGTTTCAATATGTTTTCGTCTCCACAGCTGACCACAACTGGAGGCTGATATCCACCAATCAGACACGGATCTGTTCGCGACGCACTGCGCGGATTTAAAAAAATAATCAATACTTCTGTGCTAGAATGGGATCGAATGTGTCAGATACCGCCCAATCACAAGTCCGTTTGATTCGCGTTTCCACAACACGTAATTTTTCCAAACCTCATGTTTGAACGAAGAAATGTGGACCAGTCTTACAAAAAATCACGATAGCAACATACTGGCCAGTTACAGACTTGCCAAACACGAGTAGCTGGTTTTGCTTCCTTCAATTCGAACCCTGTGGATCTCCAGGTTTGACGATCGCACACCTCAGATGAGTTCAAACCGAGCTATAAAAAGTTGTGGAATACTGTGGAAACAAAATGAAGTTTTACCGTATTGCCGTTCTCCCTGTTGGCGGATAAAGAATCTTGTCCAGGGAATATTGATGGCATTGGCTCCGGCCGTGACCACTTGAATTCTATGTGCCTATCCAGTCCCCCCTACCGTCTTCCTGGATGGGGACCGCGAGACGGACCACGTCAATGGCTAGAGACATTGTCAGAAATGGCCCAGTCGCGCCCTCAATGGCACTGGTGCATCCAAGCTATTGCCTTCAATGCATAGCTCCTTTTCCAACCCCCCCTACTTGGCAGCCCACTGACATTGCTGGATTTATGCACCAATTAAT